AGATGTAGAATTTAATGCTGAACAGAATAATACAATTTTTAAACTAGGCAAATGAACCACTGGTTACTAATTATCTAGGAACTGGATCTGCATTCAACCATAGAATCTCCGTAAGGTTCGGGTATTTCTGAACTTGGTTGATTTTTTTAAGAATGTTTGCAGATCTCCGATTTTTGGATTACTTATTGTACTATGTGTAGATCTCTCATGGCTAAGCATGAAAATTTTTCTTTTATTAATTAACTGAAAATGATCGCAGTCATGACCGAACTTGAACGTTCGGATTCGCTGCATGGCTACTAGGGACGCGTTAACGAAACTCCGTGCATAACGGAGATCTGCATACGTACATTTTGATATAATAAGATGAAAATCAATAATAATGAAGCATTTAAACTAGAAAAGAAAAGTTCGAATCACACATGTTGAATATTATGCGTTAATTTCATAGTAGAGATTTTCACACAATGAGTTCATATGTAAAACTCTAGATTAAATAATCTTGGTACTATATATTAAAAAAATGATCAATAGTTATTATTGAGAACATCTGTCGATCACTTATTCAAACCATTGATACTTCATTGCCATTGACTGAACGATAGCTGAATGCGTTTTCCTCTTCTCGACGCATCGGGTACGAATCAAGTTATCCACATCTAACCATCATTTTGAAATGAGCAAATGACGAGTGCATATTCGAAATCAATTTTTCAAAAACTCGATTCTATTTCGGAGCTATAAGAATGTAGAGAAAGATAATTAATAGCTAAAAGTTTCCTTATATAGTCATATATAATTTAAACAGAAAAAGATACTTGATATTTCAGATGCTATATGCCGTAGTTGGTTCAGATTTATTTGAGTAGCAGTCTAGTTCTTTTTTCTGTTATCTATGTAAATATGTAGATATTTGTTAGAAATGAGAAATTTAAAGTGTACAACACCTATTGATAGAAGAATAAAATTTTTAGAATTGTTCCGCAGAACGAGACTTATTATTCATAGAAAGATTACTATTATTCTTATCAGTAAATATTTCATTAATAATTTTATTTTATTTTATAATATTAGGAAAATCTTGCTTATTCAAAGATGATTATAGAAAATCAACAGAATGTTTTGATCCAATATTTCAACGTTGTCCACAATTTATGAAAAAAAATAAAGAATCTATATTAATTCATTTATGTATATCAAAAATGCAATTTGGTTATACACCTTGTTTAAAAATTATTTCAAAATATAAATTAAATGCTTTTTATGATTTACTTTTGTCTGTAAAACAAGGTCAATTATATGAATTTGATCAATATATAAAAACAATTCATCATAAATATTTTTTATCTAAAGGTTTATTACTTCATATTGAAACATTATATTTATTAGCTGTACGAAATCTTTTTCGTCAAGTATGGTTATTAATGAATAAAGAAAATAAAATATCAATTGAAATATTTACACGTGCATTTCAATGGAGTAATCATGATCAAACATGTGATCAATTACAATGTGCTACATTAATGGCTACATTAATTTGTCAAAATCGTATAAAAGCTTATATATCTTATAAACATATGACTGTTGTACTAAGCAAAGAAGATCCATTTCCTAAAATACAACAGATTATTTAAAATATTCTTGTTATTTAAATATTTATATTTGATTTTATTTGGAATACAATAGATCAATATATCTTTAGGAAAATATCATTTATTTTGATGTTGATCAATGATCAATTGAATACAGATTTTATATATATATATATATACTGAAATCAGTTTTGATTTATTAGTAGAATGATTTGTATGTGCAGATATAAACGTATTCAGTTAATGTTTTTTTTATTTAGACATTATTATTTTAATGTATCTTTGACAAATATTGTTTCTACCATACGATAATACTTTGGTGATAATGAATCTTTTTTATTATTTTTTTTAAGAACAAAAAACATTGAAAATTGATATCTGTAATAGAAGCTTACTATCAGAAAAAAAAGAATTTAGCTACTTTTAATTGTTCATTTAATGGATGATTGGCAAAGTGTATTGGTAAACTTGTTTAATTAAATTTATATTTTATATTTAAAATTCATGAAGAACATCAAAATAAGCAATTTTTAGTGTACCACCACTACTATAATGCTCTTGCAATAGACAAGCTGAATTCAAAAGCACTTCTCTGCTCTGCAGAACAGGAAAGGGAAAAACCTACCTTTCAATGATCTCTAATCAATAACGAACTGCGACGACAATTCCTTCTATTATATAGAACAAACTAAGTCAATTTCATGGCCATTATTCAGTGACATAAAAAGTTCTTTTTTTTAATCTTTGTTTTTGTGTTACAAATCACCAATATCGATTTGTGTTCTATGATGCTCGAACGCGGATTAAATTTTTTAACATTGATACACATATACAGAAACCACTGTTCCTAAAACAAACATAAAACACATAATTTTAATGAAATAAATAAATAAAATATCGAACCAAGTTTATGATGTGTATCAGGACGATTAAATAATTCAGATGGATATTGTGATATAGGTGATTCAAGTATAACTTCTTTTAAATTATAAAATACAGCTGAATCTTCTTTTGTTACAAAATGTTATTGCTTTGCCTGTACGACTAATACGATGTATGTAATCTCAAATAATTTAAATCGTATTCATTTCCTTTTTTTTTTGTGAAAACTTTTTTCTTTTATCTTGAATTGTCTTTAGCCATATTATAATTTAATACAAATGAAACATCTTTTATATCAACACTACGATCAGTAACATCTGTTGCAACAAGAATATCTTTTTGACTTTGTTTTAATTGAATTAAAAACTAAATCTTTACCTTCTCTACCGTGTTATCTTGTATCTTCTATGACTTCATTATCTGATTTTTGATTTATGACTGGTAAATATTCAAGAATACATTTAACATCAGCTTCAAAACCCATATCTATGATAAGAAAAAATTAATAAAAATCAATAGATACCTATAGTGAAATTTTTTTGATTAATCATTCGATCAGCTTCATCCATAACAACATAAGTACACTATTATAATGGTAAATAACGATTTTCAAGTACATCAATAAGACGACTTGATGTACTGATAACAATTTGACGACCAAGACAATGTACAAAACCTTGTTCTTCACGAGATAAACCACCAATAGCCGAGATGACTGTTATATTTAATAGCTACATATCAACAAAAACGATTCTATATATATGTTTGAATAAATATGAAATTCGTACTTTACCAAATTTAATTGCTTCTGCTTCAATTTGTCGTGCTGATTCACGAGTTGATGCTAAAATAAGTACACATGATCTGTTATCAGCATCAAAAAATCTTCAAAAATAAAATTTTCATTCATTTCATTAATAAAAAATGATTTGACTTATCAACTGTTGGTGATGATCAAATCCAAGTAAGTAAAGGAATAAGAAATGCTAAATAAACACAAAAAAACATCGATTCAAAAAAAAAAAGGAAACAAGTCAACAAGAATTAATTTACCTGCTGTTTTACCAGAACCAGTTTCCGCAATATCAATCACATCTCGATTTTGTAAACCAATTGGAATAACTTATCCTCAGCGCAGCTCCTTTGAGGCTAAAATGTGAAACTGATATGTATTATTAGCTTCATTATACTAATACAACATAGGTTAAGTAAAAAATCTCCAGTAGATTATTGTTATTTTCCAAGGATAATCAATCAACTAGGAAACAATCGATCTTATTTATTTATGCATTTCAAACAAGAATTGTTTTCGTTTTTTCACTGGCGCTCTATTTTTTATTTGTCTTGTTGCTTTTCATTTTCGTATTCCTTTTTCTTATTATTATTCTAACCATTGATTTAACTATTGTCCGGTTTTTTAAAAATGCCAACCAACATTTTTAGATAACTTTTCATTGTTTATGGATATCGAAGTCGAGTTTTCACCATTAGATAGAGCAATGTTTGAGGCCAGTATCTTTGTAAAATTTATTAAGTTTGAAGATATTTTCCAGAGCTATTTGCATGTGAACACTTTTTTGTTGTCTACTTCTACAACTTTTCATAAAAACGTGAGTCATATTACACCAAAACTCAGCCCAAAGAGAACCGTATTACTCAGTAGATTTCCAAATTGCACAATACCTCTCTTGAAGCATGAATCCGGGGTGAAAATGAAAAAGTTGAACAATTATACACAGAATACAAAACTGTTTGGATTGCATTTAGGTATAATTTGAGCCTATGTTGCTATGAAAAGTTGTAGAAATGGACAACAAAAAAAAACCTGTTCACATGTATGTAAATATCCCTGGAAAACGTCTTCGAACTTAATAAATGTTACACAAATAGACGTCTCTAACATTGCTCTATCTAATGACGAAATCCTGATTTCGATAGTTATAAACGACCGAATGTTATTCAAAAAATGGTGTTTAGAATTTTAAAAAGAATCCAACAACAGTGTAAATGGCAAAATGATCTTATTGTACGTATCAATCAGTTGGACGATGGAATTATTGATAGTATCTTATTATCATTGGAAGAAAAAAAGTTATGTATTGACGATGTAGCTGACAATCGAAATAGGTTTTTTTCAGTACAAAGATGTTAAATGAATCAGATAAATTCGTAGAATAGGAATTCGAAATGATAAAATTTTCGAGCGCGTGTATTAACTATAAAAATTTTTATAATTTTGATTTATTGTTCTATTTGACATTTTTTTGAAATAAATTATTTTAACCACTTTGACCCATTACGAGACCGCACTGAAAAGTTTTCAGATTGGTTTTTGATTGATCATAGTTCTCAATAATAACTAGCGTCGTGAGAGCAATAGTCGTAGATTCCAAAAATCTGAATTCACGACTGTTCCTCCTACGATATTTTTTTTTCTACGGCTTTTGGTTAGAATCATGAATAATCAAAAACGAATTAGAATAGTATTGAAATTAGATAAAGATCTTGCCTTGACTCTTACTACCAGTTCTCTCAATATCATAACAACAAGTGTTATGTGAGCATCTGCTATATCTCTAAGATTATTGATTCATATTCAATTGTATTGAAAAATTCTAGAATATGGATTCTCAAAATAAGTGTTAATTTGATTCAAAATTTTTCACC